AAACGTTCCACATACTTCCTCAAACTCTTTTATGTGCATATATGAGTTTTCTGTTTCGAGTCCATCAAATTGAAGGAGTAGTTGAATTGTCCCTATCTTCATAGTAAAAAGGGGTGCATTTTTAGGAAAGATAAAACAAGAGGGGACACTATTTCTTATGGGATTTAAGTAATTTCTCAGAGTTCGAATGTTAGGCACTTCCCCCTCTCTCACAGGAACTTCCCCTTGTCTTTCATTATTTGTGATATTATTATCAAAAGGGTCTGCTACTAATCTAGGTGAAGATGGTTAGACTGATTCATAGATCTAACAAATTATACTGAAAAATTTTGAAAGTGAGGATCGTCCTCAAACATAAAAAAAATAAATTATACACAATAAATCAAAGAAAGAATATATACAAAAACGAAGGTATTCTTACCTTTTACCTTAAACACCTTTTATGGCTCCCTGGGAAAGGCGCCAAAAACTTGACTTAATCTGAAATGTGTACACCCAAGTGTAGGCGGTCAAGCTGTAGTTATAATCTAGTTAAGTCCGAAGACAAATCCACAAAGAACTATTGTTGGTGTTTTGAAGTAATCAGTGACAGAGACCATGTGATTGGAACCTTTAAAATTTATAGTGATGATGTTTAGAGATTTTCCTGAGCCAAATATATCATTCTTTCCAAGAAGTTTTTTTAGAAAAAATATAAGATAAATTCAAATATAAACAGTCACCCTTTAGCTCGAGTATTTGAATATGTAGTTAATCATCCAATTTATTATACTTGTGGTGGGTAACTCAATTAACTCCCGTGTCAACAGCAAGTTAATCGGAAGATAAAGTTTGGTTATGAGAATTAAGTGCATGGTTCCGATGCCTTTCTAGAAGTTTACAAGAATTGTCTATGCCAAGACTCAAACCATCTACAAAAAAGCAAGTGTTTTTACAAGGCATTCAACCATAGCGTTAATATTCCATTCTTTAAATGGAGTTCAATAATGATGAATATTGAAGGGTAGTCATGAAGATCTAGTTGGGGTACTTGCCTTGAACCAATGAGTCTTTCTATACAAGAGTCATTTATATTACAGAAAGTACTCACGGTTATACAAAGTACCTTAATTTTACTAACTACAGTCAATCATTCAATAAGCAAGTAAAATATAAAGCATTTAAGCATAAATGAAATGCATAAATATAACTTTTAGATAATTTATACATTTCCATCACCTCTTACTAAAGAGTGAATGAGAAACTACTCTCTTCATGACTTTGGTAAAGCTAGAAAAGTGAGTGATGTTCATCCCTCCAAATAAAGGAGTTATAAAGTGAACCACACAAAACAAGGAGCTAATCTTCGATGAAGAATGAGTGAATCACGTTCCACCCTTCATGGCTTTGGTAAAACTCTAGAAAATTAGAAGAGTTTCACTCCTCTAAGAGAAGAAGGAAGCTCAAACAATGGAAGTGAAAGAAACTAATCACTTTTGGAGGGTTTCCATTGCAACCAAAAGATGATCTATCTCCCTTGATACAAGTAAATATAAGCTTAAGTCTAAGATTAATTCTACAACTACAAGTGGGATTCTAGGCCTCCATCAAGCTCTCTACAAGAATCCTAAAAGAACTCCCTAAAAGAACTCCTTCAATGGGAGTATTTATAGGCAAAGAGAAAGTGGATGAATAGTAAAAGGCCTTCAAAGTCCAATGTCTGGAGAGAAAATCATCTACTTTGCAACCTTTTTGAAGACAACGTTCGAGCATTGTCTGGCGTTCGAACGTTACTCCTGTATTTGCTTGATCGTCGTTCACACGTTGTCTAGCATTCGAACGTTGCTTCTGTCTTTTCTTGATGGGCGTTCGAACACCAGATAGGGTCTGACCTTCCCACTCAAGTAGCATTTGGTCTTTTGTGAAATCCATTTTCACTCTCCATGCACAACTTGACGCTTTACACTCAACATCCTGGTCCTCAAATAATTCAAGAAGACGTTCGAACGTGAATTGGCGTTCAAATGTGGTACTCAAGTACCTCATTGTTTTCCTTCTTGGCAGCAACATGCCATGTCTTAGCATCTTGCAGTTTGATCTTTAGTAATTCAAGAGAACCTTCGAACATTAATTGGTGTTCAAACGTTCTTACCTTGGTCCAAGCTTTTCCAATTTTGCACTAGAATATGCTGGTATTACACGAAAGTGTGATATTCATTGCCTTTGGTCCCTTGTACAATTTATGTCCTAAAATGCAAGCATTTAAACTCCATCAAAGTATAATTAGTCCTAAAAAGGCATAGTGATATGCTAATTTTAAATACTAATCAGCACATAGCCCAAACCGTAGATGAACATAGAGAGACAGAGAGAACCAAACCACCCCAACAATAAACCATGTAAGCTCATATAAACAAAGTGTGCCAAAAATACCAAAAAAAAAACTACACTATGTTAACAATACCCAAAGTATTCATTTCATGTCTTCATGATTCCCACATTTTCTTGCCTTCTCAATCTTGCTCCGAGTACCAAGTCATAACGCACAAATCAAAATCGATCTTATATATTTCATCCTCATTATTCACATCAAATTTTNCGATCTTATATATTTCATCCTCATTATTCACATCAAATTTTAGCAGGAAACCATTTTCCAGATTCTTTACTATGATACAACATCCACAATCTACACTCTCTATCAAGTACTTGAGATAGGCATACCCAACACATAATTTTTAAACTCAATTAAAGTAACAACCCCAGTACAACTCGATAATATCATGTTAGCAAAATAAAGGAACTTTGGCACAAATCGAGTACAACTCGATCTATTGTGCGTGTGTTGTGTTGGCCTGTGTGTGCCTGATGCGTGTTGTGTTATATGTGCTTGGGTATGTGTTTTGTCAAACACATGGTGAGCAGTGTGAGTTTGTTAAGTGTGTGTGATATGTGCTTGTTAAGTGGTGTTTGTGTGGTGCTTGTGTGTTGTGTGTTCGTGCTAGGTGTGATTTATGAGTGTTATGTGTGTTTTTTTTGTGTGGAGGTTGGAGAGAGATAAATACCTTCAATAAGGTATGAGAGTTGGGTGGTGTGGTGGTGACAGTGGCGGTGGCACTGTGGAGTTGAGAGAGAGAACATGAGTGCGGGAAAAGTAGACGTAGCCTTGATCCAAGCCGCCAAGCACTGGCCAAAACTCGCCGTTGTCAAAGCAAACGACATTCCACTGATTCATCTCTCTGTTCTAAACTCCCCCAACTCGCTGCACTTGGGGTGACAACCTTCCATGCTAGAGACCCCCCAACGAATCTCTTCTCTCTCTTTCATGTGTCTCTCTCTTCCCCTTCCCCCTCCCCAACAAATAAACCAGATCATTTTAGAATTTTTCTCAAACAGCTTGGGATCAAGCCCAAAAAATTGGAAAAAATATAAAACTTACTCAAATAAAAAAAAGAAAAAAAATCTCAATTATGCTAAGAGCTTGACAAACATAATCACTACAATTGTGCTACTCGATCACAATTTGGGGGGGAGTATTTCTGTGTGTGTTTGTGTGTGTGTGTGTAAATTAGGAGAGAAAGAGGGGGAGAGAGAGAGAGAGAGAGAGAGAGAGAAGGTTGTGGTTGTGTCACTTGAGATAGCGTAATAGACACAAAAAGAAGGGAGAGANTGTGTGTAAATTAGGAGAGAAAGAGGGGGAGAGAGAGAGAGAGAGAGAGAGAGAGAAGGTTGTGGTTGTGTCACTTGAGATAGCGTAATAGACACAAAAAGAAGGGAGAGAGGGCTTGAAGGGGAGGCAGAGAGGAAGCAAGTTCTAACAATGAGTAATGGTGAGAGAAAAGATTGCATGTGATGGAATTGGGGGAAAAAATATATATGGGATAAAATTCAAGTTATGAGCTGATTTATTAGATAAATATGTGTATGTGTGTGCATAGAAGCTTTGTAATATGTAGAATTTTAGAATTAATGGAATCAAGCTTTCCAATATTTTTCTTCTCTTCTCCTCTCTGTTTTTCCTTCATCACGGAATAGAAATTTCAAGAGAATTACCAAAAAATCATAGTTTGGTACTGTCAAAACTCACCAGACCGCAAACAAAACCATGTGACAACTCATTGAAGTTTTCAAAGGGCAACATAGTCATATATATTTGAAGAGTCATCATATGTATATACGGATTATTTATATAAACTTTTTTACTAAAATTTGAGAAGGGGGTGGGGATAGACTNCAAAGGGCAACATAGTCATATATATTTGAAGAGTCATCATATGTATATACGGATTATTTATATAAACTGTTTTACTAAAATTTGAGAAGGGGGTGGGGATAGACTCCCCTGACCCCAGTGTAGATCCATCCATTCTTCTCTTTTGAGATGAATCACATCATTAAGCAAATTAACCTTATGGTTTGGGCGGTTTGTGTTCAACCATAGGATAGTTAATAAGGTTCGTCACGTTAAGTCATTGTCTTTAATTTTCTCCCGTGCAATCAAACAGATAATAGGTTATTGAAACCTCTCTGTCATAAACACAAAAGAGGGTAGAATTTGATTGTGACCTTGTTGTCATCTTGAAAAAGAAAGAAGAAGCTGGAGATTAGTAAAATATAGAAGTACATAGCATTACGTTGGCCCTTGGGATATTCTGACCAAACAAGCAAAGACTATCACAAAGGGCTCGAAATAATCAAAGATTAGTCGTGATCAACAAAAAAAAAAACAAAAAACAAAGATTAGTCTATGGCTGATGCAATCTCCCTGAAACGTTTATCTTAGTCAGGAAGCAATGTTAGTTCCTGTAAGCAACGCATCCCTCGGCCTTAAGCATCTCTCTCTCTCTCTCTCTCTCTCTCTCTCTCTCTTACACTCACCCACACAATGATCAACATAAACATTCAACATATTTTACTCTTACTAAACGTCTTCATTAAGCTTTCTAGATGAGGTTGGTTCTTCCTTTTCTGGAAAAAAGACAGAAGGAGAGGGCAAGAGTGATCACCACGCAAAGCCAACAATGAGTGATGCAATACCAGCTTCTACTGAATGGTTACAATACTATCAACTACCGCCGCCTAGCTATGAGGTACTGCCAGACGGACTCTCCAATAACACTGTGGTGACCACAACCCCCAGTACCACCAAAGACTTCATGTTGAGCCCAAACACTTCAATTACAAGGGGTGGTGATTTGAGCCATAGGGCTTGCATACGCAAACCAATCCAAATGCGGTCTAGAGCTTCTAGGAGGACACCCGCAAACGGTGATACTACATCACAATACGATATAAGATCACTAACTAATAATTTTAAAACTGATGATACCTCAAACAAGCCATAGCTGTGAGGTCGGGTCAAGAGGTCAAGAAAGACACGAGGAACTCAGAGAACCAGGGGTGGAGTTCCCCTTGGGGAGATCGTAGTTGAACCGACTAGAAACAACTGGATGACTACGGGAATTGGGNGGAAAGACATGAGGAACTCAGAGAACCAGGGGTGGAGTTCCCCTTGGGGAGATCGTAGCTGAACCGACTAGAAACAACTGGATGACTGCGGGAATTGGGCCTCATGCATGAAACTCTCAACCAACCAAGATGCTCTCCTAAAATTAAGGAGGATCCCATGAATAATGGGCAAAGATCTCGGCTGAAATCCCACGGAATAGGGGGCAGCTTTATAAATACTACACAACGCGTCATCGTAAAAAAGTAGAAGAAAAAAGAGAAAAACCCTAATCAGTTCAGCATTGTCTTGTATTTCATTCAACTAATCAATAAGAGAAGAGAAGGAGCAAAAACCTCTATTGGAGAGTGGACTTGCCGAGCTCCTGAGCCAGTGAATCACTATATTTTCACTGTGTGCACCCCTTTAATCCACTCAATATTTCTATTGTAGCATCATACACGAGCCTTGTAGCTCTAATCCCCGCTCATCTCATGTTACCTGCCCTTTTTGCTCATCCACGTTGATTTACGCCATCAGTTTGGCACCGTCTGTGGGAACGACTATTCCTATTACAAATAAGCTGATCTTTCAGTGATTGATGGCGTCAACACGAAACATGAGCAAAAGCCAAACAAACCTATCTCGGATGCACGACTAACAGGGAGCCACCAATGGCAGATAGCTCAAGAACGTCCTAGAGACTAATCCTCCCATGTGGAATCCCCCAATAAATAATGAGATGGAGGCCCTTCGCCTCGTCAATCAGCTCTTGATAAATCAAAACGAGGAGCTCTTGAAGCTCTTGCAACACCCACAGGAGGCACGTCTAGCCCAAGAAGATCAGAACAGTCCCCACTACAGGGACCAACAACACCTTGATCCACTTAGAGAAGACAATGAAGGGGGGGAGAACAGCCAGACCTTGAGGCAGGTTCCCCAACTACCCCTAGGAACGGCCACAATGAAGAAGTACAAAGTCAAAACCTTGAAGGTGAAAAGAATGATGTCTTCCCTTATCAGCAGGAGAGAAGGGAATAATATTGGGGGCAGCGCTTCAAGGGCATCCAGCAAGAACTCAGCCACATGAAGGAAGCGGTCAGGAGTAAAACTCTAGTTACAATGGACGCCTTGGTGCAGCAGACTAAATCTCCATTCATGCCTAGGGTGTTGCATTTTCCCCTCCCCCTACCAAAGTTCAGAATGCCTCAGATAGAGTCCTTTGATGGAACCAGCGACCCCATAGACCACCTCAATACTTATAAGAACCAGATGGAATTACACGGGTATCCAGATCCCGTATGCTGTCGAGCCTTTGCCATCACTTTGAAGGGTTCAGCCTTGGCGTGGTTTAATAGGCTCCCCCAGTCTCAATCTCTTCCTTCAAAGAGCTTTCCATTTCCTTCGTATCCCACTTCATAGGGGTTCGAACCTATAAAAAGCCGAGCTATCACATTTTGAATGTGAAACAGGGACCACAAGAAAATCTCAGGTCGTATGTCCAAAGATTTAATTCAGCGTCGTTAAAGGTGCATGTCCCAGATGAAAATTTTGTCATCACTACCTTCATAGCTGGTTTAGGGGTGTAGTCTAAAGATTTGATGTTCTCCATATCAAAAAATCCCCAAGTAAGCATGGCCGAGGTGCTTGGCAAAGCAGAGACATACATAAACAGCGAGGAAGCTCTTCTGCATATAGAGACAAGGGAAAGGAAGAGAAAAAGAGGAACCGAAGTATCAGGAGAGAGAGGAAAAGAAACAGATCTCCAAAGAGAGATAGATCTCCCAGAAGAGACAAAAAGTGATCCCCAAAAAGAAGGGGGAACATTAAGGACCGCTTAGGCNAGATGAGACTCAACCCTGCAAAGTGCGCCTTTGGAGTATCAGCAGGGAAGTTTCTAGGATTCATAGTCAACAACAGAGGAATCGAGACTAACCCATAAAAGATTAAGGCAATTCTAGATATGCGACCACCGTCTAACACCAGGGAGATTNGGGAACATTAAGGACCGCTTAGGCCCCCCCGCAGCCTGAACTACAGCCGAGGTATGCACCTCAACAATATACCCCTCTCATTGCGATAGTATCCCAGATCCTATACGAGGTGCAGAACGAGAAATTCCTAAAGTGTCCTCTACGAATGAAGGTAGATCCGTCTAAAAGAGACCCTACGAAATATTGCAAGAATCATAGGGATCATGGCCATCATACGGACGATTGCATCCAGCTAAAGAAGGAGATCGAGTTCTTGATCCATAGGGGACAGTTATGATAATTTATCGCCCATGACAACCAGGACAGAACTCCGCCATCACCGGCACCCCATCAGCAAGCCCCTGAGCAACACCAATAACCCTTAGGGGAGATCAGAGTGATATCAGGAGGATTTATNCAGGCTCATACTATCGAGGTTCTAATAGATCAACCAATGAAGCAAGTGCTGCATAAACCCGAGTCTTCAGGAAGACCAGTTAAGTGGGCGATAGAGCTCAGCGAGTTTGATGTTAGGTATAAGCCAAGAACTGTGATCAAAGGGCAAATTTTGGCAGATTTCATCGTAGAATTCACTGTAGTAACACCTGCGGAAGCCACATTCCTGATACCTGACCTTCTCGTATGGAAACTTTTGGTAGACGGAGCTGTCANGAGCACAACCATCACTTTCTCGGATTCAGACTTGGAAGGCTGTCAGTATTCCCATGATGACCCGTTGGTCGTAAGGGCCATTTTGGCAAACCAAACTGTTCATTGAGTTCTAATTGACAATGGGAGCTCGATCGACATCATTTTTGCCCCTGCCTTTGACAAAATGGGTGTAGGAAGGGAGAAGCTTGAGCCAGTGAATGCTCACTTGAAGGGGTTCTCAGGGGAGAGGGTGTTACCCCTGGGTTCCATCCAACTCGTGCTCACTATGGGGGACCCTTCTTGTCAAGCCACCACCACTGTGAAATTCATGATAGTTGACGCCCCTTCTACATACAATATACTACTTGGGAGACCATTCCTCAACGCAATGAAGGCTATCCCCTCAGCAAATCACCTGGTCGTAAAATTTCTTACAAAAAATGGAGTTGCAATGGTCCGAGGAGACCAGCGAATAGCCAAGGAATGCTACATGGCCTCAATGAAGTAAACAGAGGTTGAAACTATCCAGCTAGATGAGCTTGACATGGGGGGATAAGTTGGAAACTAGGCCCATACTGTCAGAAGAGCTAGAGTCAGTCCAGCTCGATGAGGAGCCTGAATATATTATTTATGTGGGATCTAAGTTGAGCAAAGAAATGAAAGACCTACTCTCCCAATTCTTGAGGAAGAACATGGGGGTGTTCGCTTGGAAGCAAGAGGACATGGAAGGCATTGACCTCTCAATCATCAGACACAAGCTAAGCGTGAATCCCATTTGCAAACTTGTTAAACAAAAGTAGAGAAGTTTTGCTCCGGAACGCCAGAAGGCAACTAACGAGGAGGTCAATAAATTCCTCCACACCAAAGCCATCAGAGGGGTGGACTACCCTACCTGGTTGTCGAATGTGGTGCTGATCAAAAAGACCAATGGGAAGTGGCGGCTCTACATTGATTTCACTTATTTCAATCGAGCATGCCCCAAGGATAACTTTCTCTTACCTCGAATTGACTTGATCGTGGATGCAACTGCTGGGCATGAGCTCCTCAGCTTTATGGATGCTTTCTTAGGTTATAATCA